CATATCCTATGAATGATGGCCCAATGTTCTTCACCCACTGGGACTTTCCAGTTGTTACCAATGTTTCAATGGTAAACACCACCACACCGGGCGTGCTTCTAAGTCAGTTGTCGGGGCCTTGGTTTGAGGAAAATTAAAAGTAGGGGAAGAAACAGAGAAAGTGCATGGGCATTGGTGTGACTATTGTCTGTGGAAGGGAGAGGGGTGAGGCTGCGTCTCCTCTGCAAAGGTCGCTTCCTCCCACTGCGCTCTCACTCTGTTCCTCTCCCTGGGCTCCATTGCAAAAGCTTTCTTAGAATCCTGCAACCAGTCAGACATTTTCTTCTAAATCTGAATGGCACAGAGCGGCAGCATTTATACATTGCTCATCAGAGAACAGACAGCTCGTTAATCCTTAACATCGGTGGCATGTCACTGCTCACCATCATACCCTCCTTTCCGAAATACAGCTGGGTCCGCTTTTCTGAGACTACCGAGATGTCTTATCGATACACTCAGGGCTATTAAAAAACAGTGCCCTTCTTGTGTGTGACCACATCACAGCCTCCCCCTCCATGGGGAACATCATCTGGAAGGAGTAGCAGGACAGAGGCCTCTAGACTGGAAGGGCCCCGGGAGAGGTCCAGCAGAGGCGAGGGCGGCTGAATGCACTAAGCAATCGAGGGACAGGGAGGCAGACCTGAGGGGTCTGGGGCCAGCCGTGGGAGGGCGATAGGTCATGAAAAGATGTAGGACTTTATTTGCGGTGAAGCAATTATCTAGAGGTGACCCCAAGGCGGAGGGAAGCTAGTGGTCCCAAAGGGTCCATGCCCTTTCCCAAGTACCCCTCACAACAAGCTGGAAGTAGTTAGGGCTTCGGGGTGAGTCTCTGGGTCCTATAAAATGGTCACACAGCTGCAGTCCCCCACTCTTGGAGGTCTTACAATTCGGATGAGCCGTTCTGGCTTCCTAGGTCTACTAGGATGAGACTTTTAATGGCAGCTGACTTTATCCCTGCCATACACCACCTCACATCACCATCAACTGTGATGTGGGGATCACTATCCCCTCTGCCATGAGATCTATATGTATTTTCTCCAATCCCAGAGAACCACGCTGAGTTTTAGGTGAGGAAATCTGAGAGAGAAGACGACCTCCTAATAATGTCAAGGATGACAGAAATGCATTTTAAACGTTCGGAATGAGAACTAGTGGCTGGTGAGAACAAAGGCAAACACCTTCTTCCCCATCAGACACTCTTCTCCAAATAGAGAGTGTCGAGAACAACCAGGTTAGCATCTGAAGCCTCAGGCTGAGGAGGGGACAGTAGGAGGCATGTGTTTGAAAATGAGTTCAGAGGAAACACATCCAGACACGGAAACAACCTGTGGTGGCGGCTGTATTGCTGTCGGAACTCGGGGAGAAATAATGAAGAGAAGACCAGGGACTGAAGACACCACCCTGTTTTCCAAAGGGGAAATGAAGTAAATTCTGGACACTCCAGAATGGTGAGTTAATGGTAAACTCTGGCCAAATCTAGAATATAGAGGGTGAGCATTTTGACTCCTAACGACTGCTGGTTTCTTTCCAGATCCTGATTCAACAAAGAAAGTGTCATACCAAGCTAACTTCCTTCCCTCTCTGATAGGATCGCTAGAGCAACCAGCCAAGGAAATACCAGTAAAACACTAGCAGAGAATGCAGAGACCAGTGAGGTGGATCGAGCAGAACACAATCTTGAAGGTAACAGATAACACTTTCAATAGTTTACTCTGTGCTAGAGGAGATGATTCCAAGGGCTTTTTGTATCCTTTATCTATTTAATCCCCCATGATGTAGGTACTAACATTATTCTCGTTTGGCTGACAAGAACACTGCGGCAAAGTAAAAGCAATGGGTCTCAGGGTCATACAGGTAGGATTCCAAAATCAGGCAATGTGACCCCCAGATCCCGCTTCTCACATCAGGCGATCCTGCCTTTCCACATGAATGGCAAGGCCGATAAAGAGGGGAAATTGGAATATCCCTTTTCTGTACAGGTGAGCGAACCTGCCCTTTCTCTTGCACACAGGAGAGGGAAAAGTGTGGGCACACATCTTGCTTTCTCTGCCCTCTTACCCACTCACTTCCCTGAGGGAGGAGGGCGATGTTCTGATTGCTAAGACTGGGAGAGGCCACTGAGCGCACACTCTCGGCATGGCAAGGTTATTGGGGCAGAATTTGGCTACAAGGGGAGCTTGTAGTTTAAGTGCGTCAATTCCAGGGCTGATAGTCAAAGTATTTTCATTACCAGTTCATCACCAGAACAGCAAGCAGAAGAGAGGCAGGACAGGAACCACTGATGTGGCTGGTCCAGTCCTGGTAAGCTTATGCAAACAGGGCTGTGAGTCAGGGTACTTAGCCCTATTGTGTTCTCAGCTTCATCAATCCAGTTGTCTCAGTAAGAGATGAGCTATTTTGATTTCCATTAGTTTGACTTCTATGTCCTGTTTTTTAAATTTGTTCTGGGCGTAAAGAGGGGACAGACAGGATATGATTAATCATCACCAGCAAACCTCCAATTGTCCTTTGTACTTTTCAGATAATATCCCAAATACCAAGTGCAGTTTCTGATTTTAACCAGTTAACTGCCATGCGTCCAAAACAGAAACCATCCCGCGTGCATCTATAACACGCTTACGGAGTACAAAGGGTTAAAGGTGACGCTGACAAACTAAAAGCCACTCAGGAGCCTGGGTCAAGCCTACACAGGAGTCTGTGTGGTATGAAGTGGATGGAAGGAAGAGGGGCCCTTCATGTCATTACTCCCTCGGGGGACATGGATGGACGTGGAAGTCCATAGTGGGGTGGGCTGGGAGGGGCCAGGATCTGGGACAAGAAATGGTCTTTGGCAAAGAAAGTGATACAACTTTGGGACCAAGATGGGACCTCAGTACTTTAGAGTAGGGGGTCAGCAAACCAGGTATATTATCTGGCTCTCTACACTAAAAACATGTGAAGCTCTGGTCTTGACTTAGGAAAGTAACTTTAAGTGTGAGGAGAGGGAGTGGGAAGAGGAGGAAGGAAGGAAAAAGGAGTATTCTCAGAGCCAGGACCTTTGTGGGAAAAGGCAGAGAGGAAGGAGTTAGGGTGGGACCACCACCATGCCTTTCTATGTGGCCATCCCTCCTCATCATGTGAGCTGGGCAACGTAACCTTTCGTACCAAATTACTGACATCTATCTGTGTGAATTCTGAGAAGGTGAAGAAAGTGGTCTTTTCTCCAGGCTTTCATAATTGGCAGCACAAAAACAACGTAGAACGCAAACACAGGTAATCAAAAATGTTTTAATGATTAATGTTCGGACCTTTTGCAACAGTGTGGGAATATCCAGATGAGCTAAGCACACTTTGACAGCACACTACCGAATGTTATAGTTTCTGTTTGAAATATGTAAAGACTTTCGCAAACTAGTACCTAGGAGGACATACATTTACAAATATACACATTCTAGATTTGATCAGGTAAATGTAAACAGATGCTGTGACTCCTTCCAAACAGAAAACCCACAAGACTAATAAAGAGAACCACGTGGCTCCCTAAAATACGAATGTGCAAAATTAAAGCATGATATTTACATAAATACCAAACCAACAATTCATTTATACATTGTCAATGACTTTCTAAGATGGTCACGAGTGGTTCAAGGAATATTTTTTCCTCCAATGGAGGAGACTGAATCCCAACACTTTAAAATGACACACACAATAGTCCGTATCTGTTTGACCACTGCCCCCTCTCAGAAGTGAGACATGACTTTACAAGCACTAGATTCTTTTTAAACAAGCGGTTCTGAACAAACCTTCAGATTCCAAGCAGAAAAAAAACAACAGGTGCTGTTAAGATTTACATTAAACAAATGATTTCTAGCCAATTTCCTAGTTCTCTTGTGCTATAAATATCTGTTTAATTTCATCTTACATTTTTCTTTTTTTATGGAAGTCCTCCCCCCCCTCCCCCTTTATTAATTTTGGTAAGCGAGGCACATTTTAAAAGGAAGTTTGTGTCAAAACAGATAGCGGTACAGAAATCAATCTGCGTCTGGACCTTGGCAGCCATTGCTCACCTGTGGGAGCTGTCAAATGGTACACAATCAGTCCTCCCGCTGGAAAAGCTGATCTCGCTCTCACGAGTGGAAAGCAAAATGGGCTCTGTTTCCCACATGAAAACACTTAGCACTTCAGAAATGACACACGGCCTACTCATCCTACACACTCCCGAAAATCTTGAAGATAAAGAATATATATTTACGTTTCATCAAGGCTGCGCTAGCCTCCCCCCCCTTTTTACATTATTAATAGTGGCACTCAAAATAAAAAAATAAGATCTGTTAAAAAGTTAAACTGACTGTTCCACTAGATTTGAGTCTGCCTGATTTAAAGCCAGTATTACAAAAGGTGCCGTTTCTGATTTCACACACACAAGTCACCTGAAAATGTGTCACACGCTAATTTCATCAATCACGGTCTTTGATTTTTTCTAATCAGAGCTATGGAAAATGAATCAAAACTTGGAACGTATCCTAATTTAAACTAGTAAGCTTTGGGCCCTGCTTTTTTAAATTTTAAGGCATGTGTGTTTCTCTACTGTAACATTGTACAAATTTACAATCACATGCATGATCTACAGTAAAAATAAAAACACAACAGTTTGGATTACAGTGTTTTCAAATTGTGAATCACAATTCAGCACCTATCATGTTATAACTAATAAGGCAACAGCAGTGTCATATACTACAATAACACTCCCTCCGCGGCGTGGCGCAGGGGTCGGCGAGAGCCCAGAAATGTTAAAAATCTTATGCCTACTTGTCTAAATCTGTATACATTTCCTAGGGGTTTTGAAGTGGTGAAAGAGGTCCTATGTGAATCACACTATTGTAGGCCGGACTAGTTACAGCAGCTGTTAACGAGCATCGGGCACAACTCATACTGTGCTTACAATCAGACGACGTGGTGGGGAGGTTTGCAACTCTTCGACCTCAATCCTTCCGTTGCTTCCTCGGCTTCACATTGTTTTCCAGGGATGAAAAGCTGTTGGTGTGTCCGTTGGCAGCGGTCAGGGACCCGTTCTGGTGGTCCTTCAGGTGCTCTTTCCGCCGGGAGGCTCCCTGCTTGTTGTAAGTCTGAAAGACACAGGGCAGATAGCAGCATGTGTCCGTGCTATGCGAGGCCGGCACCCTAACACTAACCTAGTTCCCCTCTAGGTATGTGCGAACGAGGTACAGGGGAGCACGGGGAAGCGGAATCATGGCTGAGCTGCCAGGTGGCTGCTAGACACGACCAGGCGCTACTGCCCGGGCATCTGTGACCTCTGCCCTTGCTCCTGATCTCCTGTGCCTGCCCTGGAACCAGATACTGCCTCCGGGAGCGGGTAATGGGAGGCAGGAGAACCGGCAGTGGCTGTAAAGTGGTCAGACTCCACCGGAGATAATCGGCCCTAAGTGGACCCCTCTGTGAGCAAGGACCTGCATTACCTCATGCCCTTGGAAATGAGCTGAGCTGCAAACGAGAAGAGGATGTGCAAGAAAACTGGGACAAAGGGCAGATTTCTATCTATAGCTGATGGACTGAGATGGAGATTTCTTCGGCCTTTTAATTTAGCGGCGAGGTTCAGAGTAGCGGGGCTGTGAGACTTCTGGCTGAAAATCACCTACCACGTGTCTGCCGCAGGTCTTAAGGGAAGCGACACAGGAACCTGCTGAACAGTTTTGCTTTCCCACATAAATCCCAAACCTTTCTTGCCCAAATCTAGAACTCGGGAGGTCCGGGACAGACTTAGTGTCTTCTACGTTAGCAGGGACACTCCACTCCCAAAGGCAGGGGCTGCCCTGCCACTGTGACTGTTGGTGCCCACTGCCCGGAGTCTACCCCCCTTAGACAAACAGGCGACAGCCTCTGCTGATAAAGCCCACAGCCCCACTGCCACTGAGGAGGGAGACTTACCTGAATGTAGAAATTTGTGAAGAGAGTAATCAGGGAAATCATGTATCCGATTTGGAAATATAACCAACCAAGAGGGAACGAACATGGCCAGATGACCCCGCAGGTGGTCTGGATGATTGTCAGCACAAACTGAATCTGGGGGGGAGAGGGGGGACACAGCTGAGCCTGGGGCACAGCCGTGGACACGGGGCCATGCCAGCCTGGGTCCCTCCCCTGCACCCCCCACTTGTCAATTACACTTATCTGCCTTTCTGTAGGGACCACAAACACGAAGCAGACATTAAACTCATCCCAAACTACCCAAACTACTGCCTTTCTGTCTTATTACATTCTTCCTCCCCTCCAAGCTACTTAAACCACCTTTCCTGCAATTCAGGGGATAGTTAACAACACTGTCCTGTGTATTTGAAAGTTGCTCAGAGTACTTCTTAAAGTTCTCATCACAAGAAAAAAAACACCTTGTAACTACACGAGGTGAAGGATGTTAACTGGACACACTATCGTGATCATTTCATAAAACACACATATTATCAAATCATTATATGTCAAACTCGTGGCCTGTGGGCTGCATGTCTCGGTTATTTGGCCTGTGTTAGTCTTTGAGTTCGACATGCTTGCTGTACATCTTTAATGTACACAATATTTTATGTCTCAATGAAGCTGGAGACAAAAAGAAAATGTTAAAACAACCACCACCACCAAAACACACACGGAAACTTGAGGGACAAATAGAGAGCGATGCAAATTGCTTCTTTAAGGGAGGAAGGAGTGGGGCGCATGCTTAAGGGAACCAGGGATGTCACTGCAGAATGTCCCATCCTGCTGGACACGATCCTATTCCTTGTCTCTGTTCCCTGTAGGTTGGTGAAGGCTGACAAGAAGATTTAAACTCTTTTCAGGACATAATGGGAAGTCCATAGCATGTTTTTGATGAGTAAATCTTGAAAAGCATGTGGGAGTGCTTGGGAAACGGAGGCAGGAGTCTGGATTTCGGGCCCAGCTACCGGTGTTCCTAAATAAAAGCTGGTTCCTTCTTTTTCTTCTTCTCCTTTTTAAGGTAAGAACTCTAGGCTGAGTCATAACTAGGAGAGGTGCTCAAAATAAACCTCGGCAAACTGCATGTGACCTTCTGCCCCAAAGGGCAGAGCCTCCTAGGAGGCCGCTTCCCGGATCCCGTTGGTTCTTTTACATTCTGCTTCTCGGACCTAAGGCTGAGTGGTGCACGCCAATCTCCTCCTCGCTGCTCTTCGAGTTTAACGAGAAGATGAAGATGAAGGAACAATTATCCCTCCTGGGGAGGGGGGCGGGGAGAGGAAGAGCTCACAAGGACTGCAGAGCCACCGGCAGGAGGTGATAATGAAAAATGCCACACACATCAAGGGCTCAGCTCTCTGATTTGTTTTCCCAGATTGTTATTTTTAAATACTGAAAAATCTCAGTTTTTGGAGGGATCTGAATCCGCTTGGTTTCTTTAGAAAATTGTTAACAGGCAGGGCTGCGGGTATAATGTCTAAGTCCACCCCCCTCATCACCTCCCCCCAGCTAGTTATTGCTTCAGGGCCCTTTTCTGCAGAATGGGGGTATTAACGTGACATCAGACTACTGGAACAATCCATGTCAAACTGCTTACTTAGACTTAGTATGAGTGCCCGGCGTAGTCGATTCCACAAATGGCAGCGTGTATCCTTAGCAGCGATAGCATTAATGATGAGATTGTGGAAGAAGGCAGGAGGGAACAGGAATAGGGATCTATAAGATACTGACAACTAGGGAAAGCTTAAGGAAAGGATGGTGAGAAATAAGCAGCAGGTGTGACAGCTGCTGGTGTCCTGGGCACAGTGAACCCAGGGAGGGGCTTCAGAGCACAGCGGGTGTCATTCTCACCCCAGGCGCTCCATCACCCAGGAGCTGAGAGGTCACCGCACCTGCCTTACCAAATACCCTCGCTGCCTACTAAGCTGCAAGCACTCTGCATTCATGCCACTCCATGGCTCCTTCTCAAACTCCTGGGAACACAGACAGACAGCTTTCACTTTGGATTCTGGGTTATATTTAGAAAACACCTACACACACACACACACACACACACACACATATACACACATGCTTTGTGCACAAACTGAGAACACAGGACTGAACTTGAAGTCAGAAAATTAGCTTCTGGTCCTTATTATGCAACTCAACTAGCTGTATACCCAAGGGCACCATTGCTCCATCGATTAAAATGAAGAAAATTCCCCGCTCTGCCCATGTTTAATTGGAACAAATGAGGAAGGGTGGGAAAGGCATAGGGTGGGTGCTATTAACATCAATCAGGCCAGGAAGGCAGCAGGAGCACAGGAAGAGCTCTGTGACCCCGGCAGCGAGCGCTGGGGACAGAGGGTCACTCACCAGCTGCCCCTGCGTGATGTACTTCTTCCACCAGAGGTACGGGCGCATGGAAGGGACAGAAGACAGACCGTAGTATGAGTACATGAGGACGTGGATGAAGCTGTTAAGTGTGGCACCAAAATAAGCTGCAGGGACAGAGAGGGTTTGGAGGGGAGGATGCATCAGTGTTTTATACATAACAAGCAATACAACAAAATCCAAGGTTCTTTTTAAATCTGGAAATCAGAGGATTCTGAACAGGGGCAGGCAAACACTGCAGCAGCACTCCTCAGAGGTGCAATCGGAATTCACTTTCCACGTGGCCGGGCAGCCATCTAACAGAGCCGCCATGAAAGCACCTGCCCTGCTAAGATACCAGAAGGCTTTGCCGCCAGAGCCTCACCCACTGCCCACTGCCCACTGCCCACTGCCGATTGAGGGAGCTGCTTCTCTCTGTGAGCCCAGGGCCCCAGGCTGCTGCGTTGAGGGCTGGGGAAGACAGTGAGGGCGCTGTGCTCAAAGCTGTCTGTCCCTGCACATGGCTGAGCGTTGTGGAGGCCTTTGAAGTCGCTTCCTAATTACTCCCCAGGACTGCAGCACTGAGGCCATATATTTTTATTGCTAACGCAGATAAGAGTCCAGTTCCTTAGAGATGAAAGGCCCGCTTTATCTCATGATTTTTAATTTCCAGTAGGATTCACTTTTTTTTTTTTTTTTTTTTTTTTAAAGACTCTCTGTTCTCCTCTACAGCAGGCAACCAACAAAGCCGCCTGGCTTTTCCCTGTGCAGTCGGAGCTGCACAAAGCTGGAATCAGGGAATGAGTTTGCATCCCTGGCTACGACAGCACCTGGCTGTGTGACCCTGGACAAGTCACATTCGTTCTCTGGTTGTATCTCCTGGGCCAGCTTAAAATCTGTCATCCTGTAAGTTCTTTGAAAACACTCTTCAAAGGTAATGAGGTGCTGTTTCTGCGAGAGAGTTAAGTCAGTTAATCCTCAGCCACAGAGTATCGACGGTGAGAAAATCAACAAGACTAGTGAGGGTTCTGTACCAACCCTCCTACCGTCTCAGTTTTCTCTTCAGCTGGAAGGAGCTGTATGTGGAAAGCCCTGTGTAGTACTAAAATTCTATGACTGGGTGACTCTTGGTAAGCCGACTGAATTAAGGGCAGTGCTATCCCAGGAGGAAAAAAAAAATGAGAATCGGCTTAAAGGTTCTCAGTCAAATCTGTCAGTAACAGATGACAGGAATCGGGACATTTGTGAGAACTCCCATGCTGAGCCCGAAGGTGACAACTTACTCTCTGGCAGTAATAGGAGAGTTCCATCAAAAACTGTCCAAAGCCACCCACACCCTGCTCAATGTGTTTCATAGAATGTGAGGGTCATGATATTAGAAAATGTGCGGATTCCCTGATGCAACGCATAGCAAAAGCTCTATTTCATAATTAGCCTTGCTCTCTGGCACTCACTCCAAGGTGTGACTGTATCCTCCTGGCCTGCCCGCCAGTCAAACATCTTCCATGAGGCAGAGAGATACTAGAAATAACCTGGAACTGCAGCCCTGCTTGGCAGAGAACACTGTCCCTGTCTCTTAACATGCCCCAGGCTGGGGATTCACTATTTCGCTCCTCCTACTCAGATCAGCACAGACCATTCACTGAACCAGGAAAAGCTCGTGGCCGCGTACCGAGTGCACAGGCTACACAGACTCTCGTGAGAAGCATCCCGGACACAACACTCGAGTGCTCGACCTAGAAATCTACGGAAACGGCTCCTTGTCTACGAGCCTTCGTTTCAACCAGGAGTTTCTGCTCACACCTGTCCCCAAACCCCCTCCACGTGAGACTCACAGTGGCCGCAGGGGACCCAGTTCATCACGAACCACCAGATGTTCAGCATGGAGGCGTGGTGGTAGACGTGCAGGACCGTGATCTGGTGGTTGTTCTTGCGCAGGATGAAGAAGAAGGTGTCCATGAACTCGATGAGTTTGGAGAAGTAGTACCACCAGAGGACACGGATAATCTAGGAGGAAGGCCGTCAGTGTTTCTCTGGGACATCTCCCCTGACACCTTTTCCGTTGTCCCAGAACCCCATATTGGCTGGAAGGAGCCCGAGCGCCCTGCTGGCCCCTACAGACCTTTGGTTAAAGCCACTTGCCGGTCTCTCAGAAGTGGCTTTAACCAAAGAGCACGGTGTGGGCAGGTTTGAAGTAAAGCGGGGGAGGTTTTCAAAGGGCCACTGACACCATTCAAGACTCAAAAACAGGAGGCTTCATAGTTCAAAACACTGGAGTTGGCCCGTTATCTTTGGAGCCTGCAGAGCCATCGGGACAGAAAAGCCACCTGGGAGGGACTCCTGATTTCAGGGGCTGTTGTGGGGCAGGGGACAGGGCATGAAGCCAAGAAAAAAAGGAACGGGGACTTCCAGTGTCAGGTCCCCGCCCACTTGAGTGTCACAGGGTGCTCTAAGGAGGTGGAACCAGCCTTTTATGTCAGAACAAACACGCAGCGAAAGAGTCAGAATCTGCCGGCCACCACGCAGAGGACGCTCAGAGGAATAGCCGTTATTCTACGATCCCATTTACAAAAATAATATATAACTATGGATAAATGCACGCATTTCCCCCCTGGAAAGTGTTAATAGGACTTATAATACTTTTGCAGAGAAGGAAACTTTAGTTTTCATTTTGTACCTTTACATGTTCAAATTTCATTATTATGTGTACACGCTGCTTTTTAAGGGTCTCTTAAAAATGTCAACAGGGAAGACCTGGACAGTGAGGTTATAAGCTGTTTTGTCTTTTTTGTGCAATTTTTTTTTAAATTTGAAAAACGATTTAAAAAAAAACAAAAACGGACAGTACCTTCATATCTGCTTCGCCCGCACTCCGTGTACCCTGACAGAAGAAGTTGTATTTGCCTTCCCATACTCCTGTCACTAACTAAAAAAAAAAGAAGAAGAAAAACCAATTACCAACACTATCAGAACATTAAAGCCCTAATCAATGAAAGTTCATTAGTTTCAAAATCACTGAAAATTGACCTTGGGCTGGCTGAGGCAAGTTTGCTCTGAGCAAAACACATAATGACAGGGGTGTGTGAATAAAGCTTAAGTTGAAACGACTTGAGCCTCAATTTCACAAGGGGTGGACGGGGTGAGAGGAGGAGTGCACCCGGGAGCGCTCCTGGCTGCAGTTCTCCAAGCTGCTTCTCTGCGTCCAACCAGAGTCACCCCAAGGGCATATTACCACACAGATCGCTGGCAGGGTTTCTGATCCACCTGGGGCAGGCTCTAAGAATTCTGATTTCTAACAAGTGCTCGCACTTCGGGAACCACTGCTAGAAGTCTAGGGATCATTTAGTCCAGCCTCACCATTGTTTCCTGTGGCCGCATCACCTGCTGGATCCATGCATTAGACCTCTACAGACGGAGGAAGCTGTGCCCATTCCTCAGAATTCACCTCAGCACAGTGGGCAAGCACCCCAGAATTGGGCTGCAAGCTCCAGCGGCAGCTCACTGTGGGGGCCTCAGTGTCCTCTTGTGCACACAATGAGGACACCTGGCCGAGAGGAGACCCACAGACCCACTCCAGTGCTCCAGAGGAAAGGCCTGATTTGCCCACCCTGTGCATGTCCACTGTCTGCTACGTTCCAGACAAACACTCTTGAGATGAGTCTAGGTCAGTGGTCGGCAAACTTATTAGTCAACAGAGCGGCAAACCACGGCTCGTGAGTTGCATGGGGCTCTTGAGCTACAGTTTGCTGACCAGAAGGAAGAAATTTGAGGTGGCCTGCCTTGTGCCTGATCTCATCCCAGTGTCCAACCCAAGAACTGGCCCTGGTGCTCAAAGTGTGTCCCCCCGTCCGCTGCCTAAGCATCACATGGGAACTTATAAGACACGCAAATTCCTGAGCCCACCCCAGACCTTCAGAATGAAAACTCTGGGGATGGACCATGAAGGCAGGGCCTCCAAGTCCTGGGTCACAGAACCTTTGAAAATATAATACTGTGGTTTGCAGAAACCGGTTTGGCTCAATGGATAGAGTGTTGGCTTGGGGACTGAAGGGACCCGGGTTCGATTCCGGTCAAGGGCATGTACCTTGGTTGCGGGCATATCCCCAGTAGGGGGTGTGCAGGAGGCAGCTGGTCGATGACTCTCTCTCATCGATGTTTCTAACTCTCTGTCTCTCTCCCTTCCTCTCTGTATAAAATCAATAATATATTAGTGCAGTTCCAAGCCAGCAGCAGCAGCAGCATCACCCAGGAATTAGAAATCGCAAGCCTCACACCACACTTCCTACTGAATCAGAAATTTCTGGGTGTGAAGCCCGGCGGTGCAGTAATAGGTTGGCTGCTTCCCATGTGATCGGATGCAGTTAGGGGTAAGGACCACTAGGAAGAAGCTATAGTTCCCATTCTAGCTGCATAACTGGATCACCTGGGAGCTTGTAACAGTTGCTAACCTCTAGCCTCCTCCAGACCATTAAACTAGAGTTTTGAAGAGCCTTTTACACAGCTCTTAAGTTAACTCTGATGTGTAACTAGGACCACTGGTTTCGAGCTCCTTAACTTCAAATAAGAAAGGATTCACATCTCAGTGCCTTGGGAAAGATGCAACTGAGTACACAGGACCCCAGAGCCTCCCCCACGCCCCTGCCTTTGAGCAGAATTTAACTGGGGAAGCAGCTCCCTCAGGGAACAAAGGATTGCAAGGGTCTAAAGACACATTGCTAAACCTTCCCCAGTCTGACCTCAGAAGTAAATCCTGGCAGTGGGTGTACCCACTGAACCCCCTGCTTAGAATCTGACTGTTCTATTCACTTCTTTTTCGTGGCTTCCTTCTACTTTGTCATCTTCTATACATAAAAAAGCATTAAGAGTTAACACAGTTTTCCATGGACATAGGTCAACACAGACTTAAGAGCATCACAGGAGAGGAGGCATCATTTTGTGATGGAAGCACTGGGATCAGGAGGCAGAAGAAGAGTGCCAGGGCCTGGAAAGCAACCTTCTCCATCCAGGCATCCCACGACAGTGAGTCCTTGGTTGTTTTTTTTTTACTGTAAAAAGGCAAGGTTGGACTAAATATCTCTAAAGGTTCCATTCTAATTTTCTACAATCTCTATGTTAAGATTTCCTTCATCTGATCTTTGAGAGACTAGCACCCACAAGGTAATTTATTAGAAGGTATATTATCTTTTTGATCTTCTACAACTCTCTAAAGTTATGGCCAGATAAGCATACTACATTCAGCCCTATCAGAAGTCCCAGGAATCAAGATAAAAAGCCTGAGTCCAAAGTGCAGTTGGGAGAGGATTTACAACTAAGAAAGAAGAAGCCACATCAAGACTGACAGGAGGGGCAGAGACATCGAATGGGTTGGTCTCACACCCATGTGTGGAAGATAAAAATCAGGAGGGATAGCTTGGCTGCAGAGGTCCCCCCAGAGGAGCAAGGGTCCCAGCCCCACAACAGTCCGTCCCCCCCTCCCCCCCCATCCCAAGGCTTCAGAGCTGGGAAGAGAAGTCCCCATAACTTTGGGATGTAAAAACCAGCAGGGACTGAGGCTGAGTGAGACGGAAGGCTTCTGGAGTCCCAGGCAGTTCCTCTTAAAGGACCTGCCCACAGACTTACTCAGACTCACTCCCTCTGAGCTCCAGCTCTGGAGAGCAGCTTGAAAGGAACTGGAGACAGTCAGGGAGGAAGTGAATTGCCTGGCTTCAGAGTGAGAAGCAGATGGGCAGCTTTCTCCAGACAGAAGTGCAGACAGAGTCCGTTGCTCCTTTGCTGAGCTCTTTCCCCACAGAGCTGGTAGGCAGGCACCATTTCTGAGTCTCCAACCTGGCTCACACTGTTTGCCCACCCTGGTGATTCCCTGAGACCCCACCCACCCAAGCTGTTTCCAGTGGCTTTTCCATACAAATGGCCTGAGTCGGCTCATGCTTCAGACTTTCCTAAAATCTCTCAAACAAGTATCTGGCCTTGGTGTGTCCAGGACCTCTTGCTAAGTGGCCACAGGCCCAGCACTAGCAGCAGCCAGCCTTGATTTGCAGCTAGGCCTCCCCTGCAAATCTGAGAAAAGTGGCAGCCATTTGCAGGACACTCATCTCTCTGTTCTTTTTCTCCTAGACTTGAAGGTACATCATGAGACTTGCAGTCAGGAGAGCAGTGGGAAGCAGCATCTCATCCAGGCTTACTCCCTTAACCTATCTCCAAGGCCCCCCTTTTTCTCTTTCTCTCTCCTACTGCCTCTTCTACCTTAACTTATTCCCCATAATCCCACTGACATCCCAACCTCAAGTGTGGACTCAGGTCATTTGAGGGGTCTGTTAACTCGAGCAGAAGGCACTCTCTGTCACATGCCTTCTTTAAAAATGTCTTTCACAAGGAATCCAGGTGGGACTGCCTCAACTCTAAGCTAATTAACCTAAAATCCTATTTGCTCCCCTCATAAATGACAACAAATCTGCCTAAAACACCTGTTGGACGCTAAGAACTCAAACTTAGGTCTTGGGTGGTGAACTGAGCATAATGCAAGTACACAAACCAGAAGCTTCTCACAGGCCACCTCACTGCCGAGCACACCTCAGAGGCTCCTGCAGGCACTCCATCAGGCTTCACTGCAACACTCCCTGGACCGATCACTGCTGCCACTCAAACCAGAGAATTCTGTCTCATAATCCATTGGTGACTCACCATGGACTTCAGAATGAAACCCTAAATCCTAGGCACAGTGTTCAGAAATACATGTTCTTCCACAGTGATCCCCCACGTTAATCCTTCTCCCTGGCCAACAGCAGGCCGGACCCACCTCCCTCCTCCAAGCCTGCCTCTCCTTAGCCATTGCACTGGACCAAGGGGAAGAGCGCAGGTGTGGGCACTAGCCAGAACAAGGCTAACTCCTCGCTGAGCAACTCCGTTTAGCTTGGGAAAGTATTTTAATCTCTTTGGGCCTCAGTTTCTTCACTGTTCAAAGAGAATAAAAATAATAGTCCCGCCTCTTAAGGCTGAGAAGTTAAGGGGTTGGAGTGAGCAATGCTTCTCTTATCCCACCTGGAATGCAGGGTAAGCACAATCAATGTAAGCAACGACCTTTCCTTTCTTTCTTAAAAAAAAAAAAAAAAAAAAAAAAAAAATATATATATATATATATATATATATATATATATATATATATATATATATATAATTGATTTTTTACAGAGAGGAAGGGAGAGGGATAGAAAGTTAGAAACATTGATGAGAGATATTGATCAGCTGCCTCCTGCACACTACCCACTGAGCCAAACCGGGTAGGGTGACCTTTCCTTTCTTCCTTTCAGCTGGGATGCTCTGCAACCACGTACCCCATCTGTAGCTCTCAAAATCCTTTCTACCTATCAAAGTTCAGTTAAAACTATTTGCTTCCTGACTATTCCCTTCAGCCCTCCAGGCTGCTGTCCATTCTTCCTCCAAGCTCACTCTGCATGACTCGTACTTACTTGCTCACATGCTCCCTTTTAAGCCCTAGTTCATGGGTCTGTTTGAAGCAGCTGCGCAAGAGCTCAGCAGGGCCGGTGGCTCCTGCCTCCATGGAACCCAGCGCAGCGCGGGCACTTGTACACACAGGTGCCCAACAAGTATAAGCGGACCTACTGGCAGCAGCTCAAGGTGCTGCTCTTGATCCAGGTCTCATGTTTAATTTATAGGAGAGAAAAAAAAAAAGGCTTTGTTTTTGCTTTGCAAATGGAGGAACTGGAATACAAGAAAGTGTCTCAATGAGGTCTGAATGTGACAAATTTCTGAATTCTGTTCACAAGATGAAGACCAGTGGAAAGTTCAATTCTTAAGTATCTGTGGCTTCAGAAGGGTTAGAATAGCAACACCCAAGGACCAACACCCGAGTTAAATTTTACTCATCTAAGAGTTTCAGAGCATCCTCCATAAAGTGGCAGGTACAGG